TTTCTTACAAATGAAGCAAGTTATAATTTCGTTTATAGCTTTTATATGTATATTGGACCTTCGGTCAAAATAACTCTGTGTGTGGTCAAAAGTACAAAGTGTATCTTCTGATTTTATATTTTGACGAATAATGCATTGTTAACAAACGATGACATAGTGGAGCATAACTCAAGACAAAGAAAAGAATTTTACTATGAAAAATGCACCACCCTACTTAAATGCATATTTTCAGCTTTTTTAATAATCCACACATACAAAAAGATATACATTACACAGGGTCGTATATAAGAACGAGGTTGAGGGTTTGGGGATAAGCCCCCCACCTACCCTAATGAAGTCGATAAATAAACAACGTAAAACCGGTATTATAGAAAACTTAGCTACTGTATACTTGTGCCCACTCAATAAAAAAAATCTTTCATTTTGGCTTCCAAGAAATTGTTTGGTAGTGACTCTAAACTTTTGGTTGCCCCCCCCCCCAACTGAAATTGCTTGCTTCAGGCCTGTTACATTTATATTAAAAAAAAGCAGCCAAGATAATTTAGTTTAGATCGCCATTTAATACATCATCTAAGAAGATACTGTCTACCATGAATGCTCGTTTATTATTTTTTTAAGTGATATTTTAAAAAAAATTAAAAAAGAATATCTCTCTCTCTCTCTCTCTCTCTCTCTCTCTCTCTCTCTCTCTCAATACAACACAATTTATAAAGGACACTACCTATTTACTTGATTGCACGGATTTATTTTCTTTTTCAAGCTATAAAAAGTAACCTTTCCCCATATGAACAAGGCGCTCACTACGAGTAGTATGACTTTGGATTTTATACGTTTAATCACTGACGCTGATAAACGTGTTTCCTAGTCCGTCTATAGTATCATGGTGTATTTTCTTCTATTGGTTCGCTTTTTTTAAACATTGTAAGTAATTACAAAAAAATTGACATGAGCAATTTTCATATACAAAGGGGTTAAAACACTATCCGTTCTATTTTACACATATACTTATTTCTTCCGATTTTAAACTTTATATGGGTACAATCACTGGTCCCGAGAAAACTATCGAGATACGGGAAGTTAGGAAGAGTTACGTTCGTTCGTAAGATGTCGGTGTTTCTCTATTAAGCGTAAACTGACTCAAGCCAGGTTGTACTCGAATAATTTAGCCAAGAAGAAAACTCTTGACATACAAAAAACGTTTTAAGAGTACATGTATCAGGTCATATAAAATCATAGTAATATGCAAGTGTAACAAAGAAATGTGAATTTAAAATAAATTATGTACCAAGAGGGTACAGGTTATACATGTAGCTAAAGTTTGGGTTCAAATTACCGGTATGCATAATTCCATGCATACAGAAAAGTTAGCAATCTTCTTCTCTAGAAGAAATAGGACAAATATGTCAAATAGATATTGTAAACATTCTCAAAAATTGGTGAGAATATTTTGCTTTATTTGGGGCTAGATACTGAATAACAGGTTAAAATCACGGTCTGAAAAGATCGTTATTTATTCAATTTTTAGCAAATGGCGGTCCTTTGAATTCGCGAAAAGTAAAAAAAAAATCATACATTTTTAGCTCACCTGAGCAGAAAGCTCAAGTGAGCTCTTCTGATCACATCTTGTCCGGCGTCCGTCTGTCTGTCCGTCTGTCTGTAAACTTTTCACATTTTCGACATCTTCTCAAGAACCGCTGGGCCAATTTCAACCAAACTTGCCACAAAGTATCCTTGGGTAAAGGGGATTCAAGTTTGTTCAAATGAAGGTCCATGGCCTCATTCAAGGGAAGATAATTTGGAATTGATGAAGATTTGGAGGCATATTCTTAAAATCTTCTTCTCAAGAACCTCTGTGCCAGGAAAAATGAAACTTATGGGAAAACATCCTCAGGTAGTGAAGATTCAAATTTGTTCAAAGCATGACCCCTGGGGGTAGGGCGGGGCCAAAATGTCCGACCAAAGTTTAACATAGAAAAATATCAGAAAATTCATTAAACATCTTCTACATAAGAATGACAAAGCCATAATTTATAATATTTATTTGGAAGCATGGTCAGGTATTGTAGATTCAAGTTTGTTCAAATCATGACCCCCGGGGGTAGGGCGGGGGCAAAATGGCCAACCAAAGTTTTACATAGAAATATATTTGAAAATTCTTTAAACATCTTCTTCTCAAGAATGACAAAGCCATAATTTAGAATATTTATTTGGAAGCATGCTCAGGTAGTGTAGATTCAAGTTTGTTCAAATCATGACCCCCGGGGGTAGGGCGGGGCTAAAATGGCCGACCAAACTTTTACATAGAAATATTAAGGAAAATTCTTTAAACATTTTCTTCTCAAGAATGACAAAGCATAATTCATCATATTTATATAGAAGCATGTTCAGGTAGTGTAGATTCAAGTTTGTTCAAATCATGACCGTCGGGGGCAGGGCGGGGCCAAAATGGCCGACCAAACTTTTACATAGAAATATATTAGAAAATTCTCTTTAAACATCTTCTTCTCAAGAAAGACAAAGCCATAATATATAATATTTATATGGAATCATGCTCAGGTAGTGTAGATTCAAGTTTGTTCAAATCATGACCCCCCGGGGGTAGGGCGGGGCCAAAATGGCCGACCAAAGTTTTTAAAGATATATATAGGAAAATTCTTTAAAAATCATTTTCTAAAAAATACCAAATCAATGATTGGTCATGGGACTACTTTTGGATTTAAACTTTACTATAAAAAGCCATTTTCTACTTTTTCCTACCCTTAGTGCTCAGGTGAGCGATGTGGCCCATGGGCCTCTTGTTGAAACAGAACTTGGGAGCATTTTTCTTTAGATATATTTAATGTAAATATTGAATATTTCCCGTCTCTATCTTACGAAAGTCTGTACATGTATATATGCATATCGCGTATCGACAGGAAAGTCAAGTATCTATTGTGTTGATTTTGAGCCCAGTTGAATAATAACGAAACACCAGAATTATCTCGATTCGAAGTCAAAAGAATTTTCGCATTCAGATTTTTTTTTAATTTCCGATTGCAAATCAGAAAAAATTGTGTCGTAGTCAAAATGTCGAACTTTTAATCATATAATTATGATGAATTGTCTTAACCCTGTTTACTACGTAAGTACCTTGATTAAAGGTAATGACTGAGTGTTACGAATGAGGATGTTTTATTAAATAAATACATCGCTCGTCTACGATATGGCAAAATTGATTGTTTGCTATATAAATGAATATAATAATTGATTAGCTTTAAAAAATCAACAAGTAATTAAGTGTTTGTAATTGATCCATACATCCTCATAATTATAAAGACAGTCTACATTTCGGATAAACCCTCGTGCGCCCATATTTCGACGGTCTTTCAATGTGTTGCAATATTTTATTGTATGTAAAGCAAGAATCCATTGAAATAAATTGAGCATTATTACATCATTCAAATTGTATTCTTTCCTGTGTAAAAATTTATCCAATTAGTCTTATCTACTTCTATTGGTGATGAGGTCAAAAGTGACATAAAAACAATGGACACCGCCATTACCGAGTCCTAATTTCGACGGTTAAGTCATCAATCGATATGCAAGCAATCAGGAAGACCTTCGACCATATATTAAATATATAATTGTTCGGCAAGATAATTTGAAATAGATTTAAAGAAAAATATTAATTTTTTCTTATAAATCTTCTAAAGAATTATTCACTGTATGGTGAATTCGCGGAATTTCCTTTTCCGCGAAAACTCCGAGAGTCAATTTCCTGCTGTACAGTAGGTACACTTGTACATCAATATTTTTCTTGTGAATATATTGATAAAAGGGTTTTGTTAATATTTCAATTCGTAGCCCCCCCCCCTTGCCCCGCTCCCTCTACATATGTAGCTGAGTCTAAAATATGGTGACAATAAAAGGGTTTTACAATGAAATATGTTGCTGGAAATCTTCAGAAATAATAATTTTTACTAGATATCAGAGAAAATGTTTTGTTTTTTTAATAGGGATGTTTGTTTAAAAAAAACATCCAGAGTTATGTTGGGACCACTAAAGCGGATCAGATTTTTATATGGGAATGTGTAGAGAATTATTATAAGAGCCATGTTCAATCAAAGTACAGTAAAACTCGGTAAAGCGAAATTCTGGGGACCTGTGAATTCACATCGCTATATCCGCAATTCGTTATATCCGTATTACGAATTCGAATAACCATATTTAGCGAATTCGCAATATGCATGTTTTCCTTCAGGTATTACTACCAAATATATTACGGAAAAAATTTTTACAAAACATTCTTTCGATAACTTGGGTTTTATTATTAATCTAATTTCATATACAATTGCAAAGAGAAAATGAATCATGCAGTTTAATTGATCAAATTTTGAAATCTTTGAAGGTTTGTTATAAAATGTTATAAAAGAAGTAAATTCCATTAGATTTAACCTCAACTGGACTCAAAATCAGTTTGCAATATCCGTAAATTCGTTAAATTAGAGTTCGTTATAACCTTAAAATTTTGCAAAGATTTTTAATGAATTTTGCCAAGGGATCCATGAAAACTTCGCTATATCCGTGAATTAGCTGTGCCCGTGTTCGTAATAAACAAGTTTTAGTGAAATATACAGATGTGACCATGTTATATTTTTTTTAAATGATGGCCTCATGGGTAAGATAATGCATAAAGTTGGGGTTACAATTTTGCCTAATTCATGTAGACAGAGAAAGTAAATTGCTAACTTCTGTGTGAGAAATTGCAAGGCAAATCTTATCAAACTGATGTTGTGACATCCCCTTGTATTAATATAAGTCTCCAGATCATTTTCTATGGGACTTAGATAGGGCCTTAATATTTTATTTTGTTGGAAATACATTGAAACAACCTTTTTAAAAGTATTCTGGAAAATAACCAGACCAAGATACTCAGGTGAGCATTGTGGTAAATGGACCTTTTGAAATTAAATGATAAGTGTTCCATTAAGATTTTGGAATATATTTCTATTTTAATACAGATGCAGAGAATGTGGCCTCAAGAGAAAAAATTACAATAAATGGAAAAGAAATAAGAGTACAAATGTTGTATTCTCAACTAGGGTTGCCAGAGCAACCAATTAACTGGGCAGACTTGCCCTCCATTAACTATCCTTGTGAAAAACACTTTCTAAAATTTGTCAAAAATGTTGAGGTGGTAGCAAAGGAAATTGAGAAGACAATGCAGGAGAAGTTTGTAAAGGTTGAATGGCCGAAATCAGGATCAGACTTTGATGTGAAGCTGATATGCTCAGTAACTAAAGAGGTGGAAAATGCTAGAGGTATTCTAAAAAAGTGGAAAGAGGAAGCCCAGAAAAGCATGGAAAACTTGATTGGCAAGTATGCAGTTCAAAAACACTCGATTTTACCAGAGGCATGGGACACTTTCCTAGACAAGTTAAAAATGCTTAATATTGATCACCCAGAAAAAGTAGCTGTTTCATTAGAAGCCAAACAACATATAGTAGTAGTTGTTGGATTAGTAGAAAATGCAGAAGCCTTGACAAGAAAGATCCTAGATTTTGTAAAAATAGAGGAATTGAAAATAAAAACCAAGAAAGAGAAGATTGAGAAAAATGTTCCTTTAGATTTTCACAAATGCCAGCAACTTTGGAAAACACAGTATCGGAAGAAACTAAAGGCAGAATTTCCAGATGTTGATATGAATATTGATATTGATAAAAAAGAAGTAAACTTTTCTGGGAAATCTAGTGAAGTGAATGAGGCCATGATAAAAATGCATGAATATCTGATGATAACTAAATCAAAGTCTTTAAGAATATCCATAGGGAGACATGAAGTGTTTAAATCCAAGGATGTTAGGGATTCGTTTCTTGCAGAAATGAAAGCCAAAAACAATGAAGCTGTATGGAATGTTACAGAAGACAAAGTGGAAATGACGTCATCAAACATGAAAATGGTGGAAGAGGCCTTAATACTCTTTGATGAATTCATACCAGAGAAATCAATTAAAGTAAAACAGCTAGTGAAAATTTTGACCACACACGAATGGCAAGCTTGTGTAAAGAAGTTAAGAGAGTCATATGGCAAAAAATTGAACATTTTTTCGTCTGCTTCTGAAATCTGTGTCACTTCTACAAAGGATATTTTTCAGACTGTGTGTACAGAAGTTGAACACGTTTTGGAGGAATGTTCCAAAAAATGCTCTGTTGATAAAACACTTGTCAGATTGACAAATGCTCAGTTTAATTATGTGAAATATTTTGGAGAAAAAGAGTTGATGAAGTTGTCAGACGAAGCCAAAGAGAAAGATTTGAAAATTACCCAAAATCAAGAGAACCATTCCATAGACATCAGTGGCAATTATGAAGATGTCAAAAAAGCAAAGGAAAAGTTCATGATATTTGTGGAGAGACTGAGTGAAGACATATACAGTATAACGAAGCCAGGAGCGAAGGTTTTTTTCAACTCAGCCAACGGACGGGAAGCCATTAAAAGAACAGCCAAAGCCTCTTCCTGTATCATCATGAACGGTGGTCATCAATGTCACGGTAGTAATGATAGAGGTCAGAAAAGCAGACAGGCAGAAAACAGGATTACTTTTTTAATTATGTCAAACTCCAGAGACAACATTAGGAAGGCCAAAGTCAAGCTGGATGAAGTGATGGACAGTGAATTTGGCCGGACAGTAATAGATATATCAAAGCACACGCTAGCTAATTATCAGGTTAATTGGTTGATAAATTATTTTTTCTGCAGGGTAAAAACATTTTTGTTAATGATAAATAAACAAAATAAAAAAAAAACGACAGGAAAGACTTAAGTTTAATACTTTAAATGTAACTATTTAATTTTACTCTATATTTTGAAGATCTAAAATAAGAAATAATTAATTTTTGCGAGTTGTATCATATATCGATGCTTTAAAAAAGGATCACTTAAATTCCTAGAAACTCATAGGTATTCACTCAAGAATTCATCAATTAGAGAACAATAACATTCTGGGTGTATTGCATAAGCAATACATGCCCCATACCGGGTTACCCTTTTTCTTTACAATGTCATTTTTTAATATTCAAAAGTAATGACCAAGGTAAAACTGCTTGATGTTAATTTTTTACAGGTTGTGCTTTAACCTAAAAAAAATAATACACCAAAAGATGAAAATTCAACTCTTTTTTCACCGTTTTTTACTCGCTTCATATTTACCATTGACCTTCGGAATTTAGCGCAACAAGAACCCGATCTTAAACGATTAAGAAATATTAAAAATGTCATAATTCTATCAGAAACCAATGAAGCGAAACAACATTCGATCTGTAACTCATTAAGATACAATCAAATACCAAAATGCAGTTCAATATCTGCATGTTTTTAAAAAAAATGCGGAAAAACAAGTGGGGCAGATTGACAGACAGACAGCTAGCCGGACGGACAGACGCAGAGGAAACCTATAGTCACTTTCGGTTTCACTTGTAGGGGACTTAAAAGGAAGATTTATTATTGATTTATTTTCAGAAACTGGAAATAAAGAGATTAGCAAATGACACCGAGATTACCATTGAAACTACAAATATCGTAATTGTGGGACTTATAGCAAATGTCTATGATACAACAGTAGCTATTCATGAGTATATCCAAAAAGTTAAGGTAGGATTCTTCTCATATTTCTTGTATTTAAAAATTAATGAAAATTTCACAGAGTCAAGAAGACAATATCAGGAAGTGATGGTATCAGTGAAATTAAATTTGATCTTTTACATTAGAGGCAAGGTCAGGTCAATGTATTATCTTTTCCCTTGACATTAAGAATGAAAAATAGTGTTGCCAATCATGTGATGCCTACTTCTATTCTAAATGTTTAAAGAATGTTCTTTTTGCATAAAAAGTTATTACTATATCGGGTCTTTAGCATGATGTTACTAAATTTACCAAAATAAATCAACTAAACTGGATATTGCCAAATCCGAATTTTCTCTGTTTTTCTTGTTTTTTACGATATATTAGTTACTTTCATATGCTTCCTATATTTTCTTATTTTTACATATAATAAAGTAGTCTTATAAATGTACAAAATGATACAAAAAAAAAACGTTTTGATCGTTTACTAAGAAAGAAAAAAATACTTTTTTTTTTATGGTTTTTTAGTTCAATTATGTCAAAATGTACTTTGATTTGAAGCGTTTAAAATCTATCATAGTTCTAATTTGTTTGAAAAATCAAATTTATTTGATATATTTTGAGAGTTAAGTCCCTTATTATTAATTTAACTTACATTTGAAAATCTTTTCAAATCCTTGTTTGTGTAAAAATTATGACTAAATTCATTGTTCTGTAATAATTCTGAGAGGCAGAAGATATATTCATACGCCGTCATTCCGCCAAAAATATAGTCCCTGCTAGTTTTCAAACGCAGTTTACCATTTCTATTTTAAGATATATTTGCCGTGTTAAACAGTATTTTTGCACAGCTGAAACCGAGCAAAAATTCATTTCTGGAGTATGATAAGCTACCAAAAATGAAGCATTCTTGCAAATTCGACGAAATTTTATTCGGTATTAACAAAGTACTAGTCAGGAAAAGAACATGATATTCTCATGCATATTTATAAAGGACTGACGTTTATTCTAGATCTGCGCATGTGTGCGGGAAAAGCATCGCGAGAATCATCAGGTCGAGTAAAATATTTTTTGTGGCGTCTGTTCAGTGAGGGACACAAATAGACCAATCAGCTCAATGAGTTGCATGTAATGCATTTATGTGTTACTACATAAAATACTACATGTGTTTTTCAAAAAGGCTAGTTTTTTTAAATCGCTCTCAGAAATATTTGATGCATTATGTACATTATTATCTACTAATCCCATCCTCATATTTGCATACAATTGATTAACAATGATGAAAATTTAAGTTTTCCCCACTCCATTGTACAGGTCCGTTTGTTTAGAGTTTCCCCGTGCTTTACTCCTAGTGGACATTTTCGGTTGGGTGAACATTTATCGATCTTCAGTATGGAGCGCATATTATGCGCAAAAGATATTTTATGTCAAATACAATGTATGGAAAGTAATTTAAACTGCTATGTTTACACCCTGAATGGTATATCGTCAATTATCCCTTTTTGTTTTTAAATATGAACTACATAACATATGTAGATGAAACTTACATTCCATACATCTTGTCTTCTTAGAAATATAGTTGGGCTAATAAAATAAAATTGGTCAAGAAATTCCAGGCCTCTATAAAAACTATTCCAGTTTGAGAGCACAACCAAGCATTTCGATGAACACCACTAAGAAAAATTAAATCAGGTAGGTAGCATCGGTTTTTTTTTAAATTGGGTGGGGGAATAGAACAGTTAGAATAAAAATCAACTAGTTCGAAGAAATCTGACAAGTAAAATAGGTTCCAATATCTTTCACTACTAAATTTTATTCATTCACTACAATTTACTGTCAAACTCCAAATTTCACTTTCGAATTAGCCCGAGCCTATGCTGATAACCCACTTGCAAGATTTTTTATATTTTTTTCAAGAGGTCAGAAATACTGTGGTTCACATGTAAAGTATATAATTATATTATCTAGTAATATTCTGGTTTTGGCATTCGGTATATTGGCGTGAGATTTATATATGATATTCTGTGGAAGAAGAGCAGAATCGAATGTATCTTATAACCATTTTGATTGATCAAATTATATCATTTGTTTGTATTGGTTATTTCATTTTGGCACAACATGGTTTCCACACTTCTTTATCCATAGTCGCTAACAGCAGTAGAAGTTCACCCAACCGAAAATGTCCATTGAAAAGACAATTGCACGTGATTATTCCTCGGTACAAAAAGCAACCAACTCTGAGGTGCTCTCAATATTGACAATCCATAACTCACGTGTTTGTAGTAAAAACGTAGTAGACCATCATGCTTTTCGGTTCATTCACGAGATTGGACCATTGTTTGCTGTAAACATGCGAGACAACGTGATCATGAATATTTCAATAAGAGGCGGTTTTTTATCCGACACGGAGAGAAAATAATTTTTACCAAATAATATTTCATAACTTTGAAAAGTGATGGAGTGAAATTGTCTTATTTGCAGAAAGTATATAACTTATATAACTTGATGAGACACCACTTATATTTATTACTTTTAAAATAAAACACTAATACGGCATATATAGCTTTAAAGTTGTACAATTGTGATGGGGAAAGAAAAAAAATGTCTTTTAAATCCCTTACACCCACATGTAAATATATAAAACATATAAGCAAATATACTTTGAATGATTCATCTAGTCTGAAACCAGAGAAGAATCCGACCTTAAAGTCAAGGAGAATGCCTCTAGGATTGGGAAATTTGTGAAGTGGCAGTACGAGGTCTGGTGTAACAAGTGGATTGACTTTAGGGAAGATGTAAACTATCAGATAGAAACTGCTCATCTGTTGAGGGAGGAATCTTGTACTATACAAGACAGGACGGGAACTGAGTATGTCATCGACTTTAAGATAATGGAGGAATTTGAGAAGAACAGAAGTAATAACAGATATAAAATTCAGAGATTGGAAAAACGTAAGGGAGCTTTTTTCTTGGCTTCTTAACATTTATCTTTGATTATTTATTTCTCAGATGAACGAAAAAATATTAATTGCCTTTAAAATCTGTTGGATGCTTTACAAACTTCATGGATAGTCTGATACTAAAACCAACAAACGAATAAAACGAATTTTCAGAGAAGTCTTAATTGGAAAACTTACATTGGATTACTGAAGTTCTCTGTATTTAGTTTCAAATATAGTTGCTTAAAAACTTTCATTTTTTAAAAGAAAAAAGAGTAATGACGTCCAAAAATGGTTTAAATCCTCAAAATCTATGTAAATTATTGCAAAAGTAAGCATTTCAGCTACTTCCAGTTCGGAAAAATCGGTTCAGTAGTTTACGAGAAATCACGTGTACTATGATAAGTGAATAATAATAATAGGAAACAGTAAGGCCTTCCGAAGGACGTCGGAAGACTTTAATAATGTTATTCCAATATATTAGATTTAGAGGACTTTAAAAAATTGTTATAAGATGTAAAAAGATGCAAAATCGTTCGTTTGGAATTGCCGCTTGGGCTGGGTTTCAGATTCGGGTGGCAGGGGTTTCTTTAATTGTAATTGAATTAAAAATCATTGCTGATAAAAGTATAATTAACAAGATTTATTGAATTCATGTAATAAGTATTCTCCTTTAGCCAAGACTCTGTTTTTGTTAGATCTGATGCCAATTAAGTATTTCAGTGTTGCAAATGATAACAGGCCAATAATTGATAAAATTAATTTTATGAAGTATTTTGTTTCAGCAGGGGTATTTCTATGAGGCTACAGACAATTCGAAACAAACAATACACTAATTATCTATTTTAGCGAGAACATTATTTTCACGTTTATATGTGAGTCAGCGTGTTAAAAAAGCATAGTTCTTGTGCATTTAAAAAATATATTTTAAAACTTATGCAGGTACAAAAATAACTTTTATACAGTCAGAGATAATAAAAAGAAACAAAAATAAGTAAAGATTCACACTAAGAATTAGTGAGTTTGTATTTTAGTAGCTACTTCTGTTTGCTTGCCATCCAAATGGGCCCCAATGAAGAGAAAACAGGTAATGGTAGAAGTTAAACTGAATTCTAGTGAGGAAGAGTATAAACAAGTTCTACAGAGATTTCAGGCCACCAGTCAAGAAGATGTGACCGTTACAGAGGTAATAGGTTCTCTCTTGGATTTTGACAGTTGTTGGACACATGTATTATTTAAGAATATCAAGTTCATAGAACAATAGAAAATGTTTCTTTTTCTTCGGTACTTATATATATACATTATTAATTATAACTATGTATTTGATCAGTTTTTAGTTAAGAATTCAAAATTTAATTTGTGCTTTTATTCTCCACTCCCGAAATATGTTTGTGAATTAGATTTATTATTTTAACTATGCATGACGCACTTTTTATCTTTATGAACTTTGATGAAGATATCAAAATTACATGGTTAGATCACATTATTTTATGAAATCAGTGACATTTTGCATAAGCATTTTCAGTTATTTCACCACAAATTTCCAAGTCAAAGGACAGCCAAAGGAAAGATCCCCCTCCAAATTTTCTATATTATTTTCTACTGACATAAAAATAGTTCTCCAAAATTATTCAATTATATTTGAATTTATCATGAAATAAAAAAATTAGTTTTCAGATATTTTTCTTTCTCTCCTATGTGTCACTGGAGCCTGAATATTGATTCAAGATTTTTTTCAAACATTGTGTTCTACATCATTGAGGTCTTTGTATTGAATTCTTTAATTTGCATTAATTTTCATTCAAAAAAAAATTGTTATTCTAATGACAAATGATATTACTTTATATGTTTTTGTAAAGATTTTTATTCGAGAAAAAAAATTAATGAAAATTTTAAGATTTTAACATATCCCTTTTTGTATAGACTACAATGAAATGTGCACAATCATATGTAATCTGCAACCACATGCTATGAAAAAATTTATCAGACAAGATTTATCAGACTAGTCCTGAATATTAATTTCTTAAAACATCTAAATTTTGGCATGATTGAATTTACTCTTATGAGCCGAAGGCTCAAGGGAGTTTTATGATCATAATTTGTCCGTTGTTTGTCATCGTTGTCGTAAACTTTTTTCAATATTTATCTTGTTCTCAGGAACCACAGGGCCAAGTTCAATCACACTTGCCACAAAGTATCCCTAGGTAAAGGAGATTCAAATGAAGGTCATGTCCTTTTAAAGATGAAATAGTTACGAAATGCATAAAATAAATGACATAATTGAAAAATCTTCTTTTCAAAAACCATTGAGCTAGGAGAGGTGAAACTCTTGAATTATTGCCAGATAGTGTAAATTCAACACACAATAGACGATCAAAGTTGTACATAAGAAAATTTATGAAAATTTTTCTCAATAACAGCAAAGCCATAATTGGTCATGATTTCATAAATGGTCATATTTATATGGAAGCATTCTCAGGTGGTGTAGATTCAAGTTTGGAAAAATCTTCAAAAATCTTCTCCTCAAAAAAAGCAAAGCCATGGTTGGTCATATGTATATGAAAGCATCCTCAGGTGGTGTTCATATAGATTCAAGTTTGTTTTTAATCATGAAACTAGGGGTAGGGTAGAGAAACATTATGAAAATTCAAAATTGTAACAATAAAGTCACAGTTCGTCAAAAAATATGCAAGCATCCTTATTTAATAGAGATTCCTTTTTGTTCAAATCACTCTCCGTTTAAGGGGTAGGTTGGAACCACTTATGCATTTAAGCTTTTCAATACTAAACTGATTCTATACTTTTTTGTGGTCAATGTGGTAGCTTGGCCTCTTGTTATTTTTTTTTTCAAAATAAGAAAAAACTATACATACACCAATCCATTCACCAATTTGTTTTCTGTGATATTTAATATCCTGGAGTACTGATATAGTTTTCAAAGAGCAAGTAATATTGATGATTTGTCAATCTACAAATAAGCATCATACATTTAGATAAGAAGAATACAGAATCCATATCTATATCAACAATATGCGGCAAAGAGAATAGAAATCCAAATGAAGAATGGAAAAGACCCCGAGCAATGGTTGTGGCATGCAGCCTATCCTCACACGGTTAATAAAATCATCAGCAATGGATTCAAAAGGCAGTACTGTATCAGACATGGTATGTTAATGAAATATTACATAATTTATTGACTCTTGTCTAAGATTAAAAGCTAGTCTGAACAAACTGAATTCCATATCACAAATTATTCAGTAGATGCATATATGTTATGAAAAAGTACTTCTATAAAAGGGATACCAAGTACTTGATGAAATATAGTGGTACATGTACCTATCAAACAGCTCAACAGTAACTTATTATTTTCCATAGGTACATGGTGTGGGGCTGGTGTCTATTTTGCTGTGAATGCCTCCTATTCTGTTGGTTACTGCAGAGTGGACACCCAGGGACTCAGACATATTTTCTCCGTCCAAGTCGCCACTGACGAAGTTTGCCAGGGAAGTGGAAGTTTAAATGTACTTCCTCAAAAACCAGGTGCAAAAAGCCACGAGACTTACGATTCTGCCTCCGATAATCCTAGTAGACCTGTGATGTTTGTGATATTTCATGACAGCCAAGCCTATCCAGCATATCATATTATATTAAAATGATTCAAAAAGGTCGACATATCTGTGCTTTTAAAAAAAATAATTAGGTCTTTCCACCTTTCTGTGGAGAGACCTCTTGAAATGCTTCTGTTTCTAATTATTTTATTTCTCACCTTAGCTTTTGAGACCGTAAGACTTATCGAAAAACTTTATAGCTCATCATATTGAATATTTTAAATTATTCCATAAAACGTCCCCCTGTGTTTGAACTTTAACCCCTTACCTAGTTATTAACCTTTCACCGTAAAGCTTGTTATCGCTACTCCTCTGAAACCGTAAACCGTAGAGATACAAAACCTTCACCAATGTCTTCAACTAATTTAGGAGACTTTTCAATCTTTTCATTGCGAAAGTTTTCTTCGACCCCTTCAATGAGTTTCTGCCCCTGCAAGTTTATAAATTGGATAAATAATTAAAATTTTCTAAACGAGAAGTCGTAGAGGCATGAAACTAACTGCATGAGATTCATTGACCTCTGACCTTTTAAATTCATTTCAAGGTCAAAGATCAAGGTCATTCCAAATATGAGGAATAAATTTCTTTTAATAGCTCTTATGTCCTTCAACATACACCATCTATCTTCTGATTTTGATATGTACTATTGAAGCTCTTTCGATGATTTCATTCTTGTCCCCTAAGATTGATCCTTTGAAAAGTTATTGCCTTTTGTGCTAAAAACCTTGTTATCGCTACTCCTTCTAAACCGTAAGCCGTAGAGACAGAAAACTTTCACTAATGTCTTCAGGGTCCTTAGGCACAACTTTAATCTTTTCAGTGCGAAAGGATCTGATGACCCCTTATATGAGTTATCGCCCTTTAACGTATTTGCACTTTCTATTAAGCCTCATAACTTTATAAGTATAAGTAGTAGAGGCTGGGGGTCAATTACCATGTGACCCTTGACCTTTGATGTTTAATTTTTTTACAAGGTCAAAGGTCAAGGTCATTTCAACAATTTTAAAATCTTCATATTTTTTATCATTCAAATCTTTTCTTGTTTCTTTTTCATGAAACTTTATTTAAAAGAAATAAATATAAAAAAAATAAGAAATTTAAAAAAGGTGGAAAGACCTCTAATTGTTCTAGAACAATTAGTCTACTAGTTGGATTTATAATCATTTTGAAGTGTCATATATTTTATGTACAGGGTTATTTGAAAAGGGAGAATATGATAGATGACGCAATACATTTTACAACGTTGACCTTTTTGTTGTTTTTTTTTTAATTAAAACTCAAGGTTGTTTCCAAACTTACCGGTCATTTAAAATACAAACTAAATTCAATAATTGTCGCCTCATAACATACCTGTATATATATAAATCTGATGCCATTTTCTATGAGATTCTGTTTTATATTATCATGACTTTCGGCCTTGTCCTGAGTGAGTACATGTACATAAATGTTTATGATGTTCTACTCAATCAGTTGTTGTTTCTGGTTATGTTTTACTGGTTGCCTATCAAATATTATTTATCTATAGATTTCTTATCAGCTTTCCTCATCCCAATAACAACTTCTTGTACACGTGCCAACCAGTACACGCATTTATATCTTATGTGACATATGTATAGGCAACTTTATCATTTTGATTTGTCAGTTTGCTAGGCAATACAAGTTGTAGGCCTTTCAACTAATTTTTCAAGTTGCACATAAGGTAAAAACATTGCATAGATAGATTTATAGGTACATTAAATTATCAAAAAAGATAATTACTTGTGCATACTTTTAATAACATCATTAAAAAGTTTAATTATTTATAATTGACTTTTCCAACGTTGCGTTTTAAGGACAAGTAAATCAGGTGTGAAATATGACCAACTAAGTGCCAATTTTTGAGTTATGCTTCAGCATTGGTATTGTTATGTACTCAAAAGGGTCTTTTCTCCTTCGTTTCACTCATCCGAACATAAAATATTTCTATTTTAAGTATCTACCGTATATACTCGCCTATAAGTCGGTCTGCCTATAAGTCGGTTGTATTTTGTTTGGCTATTTGGCAGGGATTTGCCAATGACCTGCTTTTAAGTCGGTACAACTTTTTACCAGAATGAGATGACAGTTTTTCATTAATGCTCTGATTTTTTACCCTTATGTTATAAATACTTTACAAATAAAGTACTTATTTAACTTTAAATGAAAATAAAAATATATTTGATACATCTATGTAAACTACCTGTAATTTATGTATAATTTTATAATTTAAAAGTGATATATATCCAGACTTTGTTTAACATAAGCTGTTGAAATTTTAAGTAGAATACTAACATTCGCCTTTCAGAAAAATACCACTCTTCTATGATCCGCCTTTTAGTCGGACATAGACATTTGAACTAAAATTTATCTCCCAAAATACCGACTATTAAGCGAGTACATACGGTAAGTGGATAAACAATAGAACACAGATTTAGAATGTGATGAGCGCTTATCAACCATTTTATTTGCGATATGTATAGAAAACATGCGAAATTATCAGATGCACTGGAAGCAGACCCCAAGAAGTAATTTCACATTACAATCTACAAAATGCAATGTAAAATATTAAATACACATATCAAAATTATGTATCATTCTAATGATATTTCCATTTTTATTTGTTTTCTCCTTGTTAAGGTTTGTCTGCCTATATAATTTTAATGGTGAAAAGTACAAATTATTGAATTTATTTTCATTTGATTAAGTTTAAATTTCCCATTTTTTTTCAAAAATGTATAGTCCGCCATAATATTTAAGATGGCTATTGGCTAGACAGAAGCATAGGTCAACATAAAAAAAATCGTTCATTTTTTTTGAAAACAGCATCAATAAAATTGAATATTATGTAAAAAAAAAAATGAGTCAAATGCATAATTGTGATGCTAAAAATTCCCAATACTTTTAAATTGTGAATATAAGGAAAACTATCTTTCAATAGAAGTAAAAGAAAGAAAATGCCTGAATGAAGCCACATGAGTAGGCGTTATTGCCCTTAATTGTCAACATTTTCTAAAAAATTGAATAATTTAATGAATACAGGAAATCATTTTTCCAAAATGTATTGTTCTGTTGGGTAAAAATTTAATTTATATTTTTGCAAAAAACTATGACATCACAGGAGGATGGAATTTCCTTAACTTTGAAAATTAATCGAATTGATTTTATAATATATCTACTGGAATGTAAATTTCACCAGCGAAAGATCAGGAACCATAGGGGCTTTGTAAACATGCAAATGCCCTGGCATACTCAATAAACTAGACAGTGATTCCTTGAATAAATCAAAAAAGGGTGTTCGAAAACTGGTTGACAGCTCGTCGATGACCACTTCATGCCTGAGCAGCACCTTATTTATCATGACCTAACAATTACTTTTCAATTATACTTTAAATTCGCAGGCCGAAATAGTTCAAACAATACAACTAATAGAAATTGATTTATGTTCTCCTTCGTTTCACTCATCCGAACATAAAATATTTTTATTCTTAGTATTTAAGTGAATAAACAACAGAATACAGATATAGAATGTGATGAGCGCCTATCAACCAGCTCGACGACAAAGGTGCTGCATGCATTCAACTGCAAAAGAAATGATCAAAGTATAGTTGTAAAACAATTTTGTTTTTAAAGATATATAAAACACAGCAGTGAAGAGGAAGCACATTATGATATTTTAGATAGAATTAAATTGGAATTTCAGCAGTAAAAACAATTATCGTTCGAAACTGGAATATATGTGTTAGATTACTTCTGAACTACAGAACTTATAAAACCTGCAAAAATAACATCTGTGTTTGTATGTTCGTTATCATTCCAAAATTCAATACTAAATCCTTTATTTAGAATTTCGTGTCCGTAAGTCTAGGCTCCTGAATCTCTATCGGTAATTTCTTTCCAATGCGAAAAAAATACAAATGAACTGAAATTTAAAATAATAGTTTTTCATATACTAGTAAGTACAATTAATGATTAGTAAACAAAACCCATCAAAACAACATTTTAGTATAAAATTATTCACAATGCCCAATGCAGGCTTAATTGTACAATGTCCTGTACGGGCAATTCACATTAAATCATTTGGCACTTAAGGGGGCCGACTATAGTTTTATTGTGTGAAAACTACAATAGCGAAACTCTTCATTTTTATACCATATATAACTTACATTAACTTCAGTGTACATGCAAAGTTTGGGGGAAATCTACCGTCCAGGTATTTTTGAGGGACCGTCTCTAAATACAGGTACATTTACTATAGGATTATATAGGAAAATGCCAAATTTTGTCCTTTAAAGCAAATTATACAAATACTACAATAGACATTTTGTTCAAACTATAATATTTGATGAGCAATACTATATTATACAATATATATAAGAAACACAGAATTCTACCGTCTGGTTACCAGAGGGGGCATCTCAAAATGCAAAAAATTAGCAATTGTTACTCTTTTTATAGAGTTATTACAAAATGTGACGTACATAATGGATTCACATGAAAACATCATAAAAATATTGGAGATATTCTCAAATTTCTATGTTTTAAATTTCCAGAGCGTATGTTTATTACTTTTTCTTTAATAATATTTTTATTACCCCTTTCTTTAAGAGCTTCAGATTATCATAACGTCAAAAACACACTGCAACGATGTCAACCTACCTATCAATTGCAAAGTCGGTTAAAAAATCAGTTATATCAAATTGTAATTACATTTTTATACCTATAATTTATTAATTTTGTTTAATTTTAATAATTAAGTGAAAAAAGTTGCATTAAAACAGTAAATACGCTTCATTTTACTATGATGCGCGAAATATTGCGCAATGGAAACTATAGTCGGCCCCCTTAAGGCTAATTCATAAAGCCCCATCAAGTCTTATCAAAATTGCCCCATCAAGACTAAAATACAAAAGCCCCAAGGCTTAGTCAAAATTGCTCCATCAAGGCTAAAAAAAGCCCCATCAAGGCTTGTCAAATTGCCCCATCAAGGCTAAACTACAAAAGCCCCATTAAGGCTTATCAAATTTGCCCCATCTAGACTTAGCCTATAAAAAACAAACAAAGCCCCATCAAGGCTTGTCAAAATGCCCAATCAAGGCCAAATTAAGAAAGCCCAATTAAGGCTTGATAAAAAAAAAATGCCCCATCATGGCTTACTTATAAAAGCCCGATTAAGGCTTAAACAAAAGTGCCAAATAAAGGCTCAATTACAAAAGCCCCATTTAGGCTCTAATACATTACCCAATGAAGAAAAACTGCACTGTCAAAGCTGTTTATACACTTTCCAATAAACTGATGCGTAGTTATAATCATATACATTAATTAGTTTCAAAGAATAAATTGACTGAATTTTATCATTGTCTATTAACAGTGATAAATATATGATTAAGGTAAGTCACTCCTGAAATTTGTTAAATCAAAGA